GCAGAGCAGAAGATAGAGAGAGGAGAGTACAAATGGATCTAGCTTTGTGAGAAGAGGTAAGCTCCATGCATGTGGAAACCTATCTCTCTTTTCGTGTTTCTCTCTATATTTGCTGAATATGGTGGTGAAATTTTTGACCTTTTGATTCGTAAAACTCCAATATTAATAAACATAAATAAAAAAATTTCTCTCTACTTTTGCTAATATTTACAGAACACACTAAGTTCGGCTTCTCGGTGGGGAGGAGAATTGTGGGCTTGGTGTCAGATTCCGGCCAATAATTTGACGGATCGCTTGTCCAAGGCCAAGTTTGCCCGAACTGAGGCCGAGATCCGGCAAGGTCAAGGAGGTGGCAGTGACAGAGTTCCAACGAGGTCGAAGTTGGGGGTGGTGGTTACTGTGGTTGTGTGTGTGTGTGTGTGTGTGTGTGTGTGTGTGTGTGTGTGTGTGTGTGTGTGTGTGAAAAGGGTAATTTGGTCATTTAAATATTTTGATATTTGATAATTAAAATAAATAAAATAGTGAGGGGTAAAGTGGATTTTTCACATATTTTAAGGCTCTGTTTGGATGACAAATTTCACAAAGGGGTGTGATTGTCAAAAAATAAGCAAACTTTCCTCTATATAGCCTTTCACCAAACCTCAGGGGGTGTCTCTGTACTTTACCCTTGATAAAAAATATGAAGACTTAAATGACATAATTGTCCTTGATGCATTACTATGCAATACCTCCCTCTCTCAGCTCTCATCTCACCACCTACATCCGCGTCATCGGCGCCACCATCACCATAACTGGTGACAACCAACTCCATACTCATACCACAATCGATGATAGCCACCACCATCACCATTCTCATCCCATAACTGGTGACAGCCACCGCCATCACCATTCTCATCCCATAACTGGTGACAGCCACCGCCATCACCATTCTCATCCCATAACCACCAACACACCCTTGCCATCACAACCACAGCAGGAAACACCTCCGCTGACCCCCAAATCAAAACCCCACATCGGCGTATTAAACCCAACACAAATACGTACACTTGTAGATTCCTAATTGATCCCCAACACCGGCCATCATCACTGATTGTAATTGAAACCCACCACCACCACCATGTGATACCAATTGCAAAATCCTAATCAAACCCAACACACCTCCATTGCCGACAATGATTGTAAAGCCTTTATCGAACCCAGCACCACCACCATCACATATTCATTCTGCTTGTTTGTCGAATCAGGTTAGTACGCTTCACCGGACTGAAACGAAAGTGGAACCAAAACTTTTGGGTCTCACAGGAACGGTTCTCACTTTAATATGTAGCGGTGATTACGGCGGTAGGCTTCCGACAATGGTGGTGCCACCGCCGCCGACCTGATCCAGGCCTGTCCACCTCCGCAGACCTAATCAAGATCCCTTCTGCCTCCACAAACCTTATCAAGGCCCCTTCCGTTTCTACAAACCTGAACCTTCCACTTTAACGCAGTTGATCCGGCCAGTCACTTCACCTCAGAGCTTAACCACATCATTGCAGTGAACTACAGTTGGGGAAACTTAGACAGAGGCATGACTTTCTCTTCTATATCCTTATCCCACTCCTACCCCTCCATCTACTATCCCAACCCACTCCATTCCATTTACGAAGTACTATGAGATTTCATGGTAAGTTTGAGTATACCAACCAAGTTCAAACTGCGGCGATGATTTGGGTTGGAGAAAATACCAATCTGGGATTTCCATCTTATTTCACACACTGACCTAAGCCTAAACTGAACTTCCTTTGAATAAAGCCTATTAAAGTCCTTGCTATCCTGATTGTTGAGCATTGAAGAATTTTTGCGTTTAATTTGGGGAAGGTTTGGGGCAGTGTAGGAGTAGATTAAATTGTAATTGTATGTGTGTGTGTGTGTGTGTGTGTGTGTGTGTATATATATATACAGGCAGGCTTTCATGCAGTCCAAAAGAACAGATTTTTCAGCGGACTAAAAGTCAAATAGCCAATTAGCATTTTTTTACTTTATCAGACCTAACCATAGTTAATATTTGTTACCTTAATATTCAATTTAACATAGTTAATATTTGTTATCTTTATTCAATCTCTCTCCTCCTTAATCTTTTCCATCTTCCTTACCATCTCAACCACTTCTACCATATCCACACCATCACATCCACCATCTTTACCACTACGACCACAACACAACTACTATATTCATTCTCCAACGGTCACTCTCTCTTTCTTTCTTTTCTTTTTGCACTTTGATTTTATTTATTTTTTATTTGTTTTGCTCTCTTAATTTTTTTTCCCTTGATGGCCTGACTGTTGCTCTGTTATTATTATTTTTTTTTTTGCTTTCTTAATTTTTTCTTGGACCCATTATTCCACATTTCGTGAATAATGGAGTCTCAAATAGAAAGCATATATTGCTTAATCCTGGCATGGAAACAGTAAAAGGTTTCCAAATTTGGATTTTCTGAGACAAAAATAAGAAAAATTTCCAAATTCTGATTCTGACAATTTTCTCGTTTTCGTTTTCACGCATCATAATTTCCTTCAAATTTTATGTCACAAATACAATTAAATATTCAATCTCATCATCCCAATTTTGGAAATAGTTTATGGTATCTGAAAATCGTGCATCTGAGTGATTAGTATCTCCTCCATGCTCTTTCAAAGGATATACTGGTGTTGGAATCAATTGGCCTCCACCTACCTCCATTGACCTGGAAGTCGATCTAGGGAATGAAGCTTCGAAATTGAGGTGGCTAATGCTTCTTGTTATTTGGAAAAAGTCCAGAGTGAAGGATATATATTTTTTATATTGTGTTTAGAGGCAAAGGGTTTGTTTAATAATATTGGCAAATGAAATTCTCTCTTGAAAGAAAAAATAAAAAAATTGAAAGGACACAATGGTGAATGTAATGGTGTGGATATGGCGGTAGTGATTGAAATTGCAAGGAAGATGGAATATATTAAGGAGGAGAGAGATTGAATAAAGATAACAACTATTAACAATGGTAAATTGAATATTAAGGTAACAAATATTAACTATGGTTAGGTCTGATAAAGTAAAAAAGTGCTAATTGACTATTTGACTTTTGGTCCGCTGAAAAATCCGTTCTTTTAGACCGCATGAGAGCCTGCCTCTGTGTGTGTGTGTGTGTGTGTGTGTGTGTGTATGTATATATATAAAAGAGAGAATGAAGAGATGAAAGAAGAGGTGGTGGTGGTAGTAGTGCTAAGAGGTGGTGGCAACTTTATGGGTATGTGATTGACATGAAGAGGTTATTTTGGACAATTTAGAATGGGTAAATTGGTAATTTTATAATTCAAAAGTGTCATTTGACAAGTCAAAGGGTATTTAGGTCATTTTATCACATGTTAGAGCATTAAAGGGTGTTTTTGTCAAAGGAAGTAAATTTGAGGAGGTGTCATTGTCCAAAAAAATTCTAACTTGTATCTGGGTGTCCCTATGACAAACTTCAGGAGGTATCATTGTACTTACCCTAAAAAAAAAAAAAAAAAAAAACACAAAAATATAATTTTAGTGACTAAAAGTGTTCTAGGAAAAATCTTAGGAAATAAAAAAAAGGTGTAGCATTTTATTATAATTAAAGGGGTAAAGTGCAAAAAAAACCCCTGAACTATTGTCCTTTTGTAAATAACTTCCCTGAACTTAAGATTAGCCTCCTCAACTATTAATTTGTTGCAATTAAGGACAAACCCATCACAATAGACTATTTTACCATTTATTATTTAAATTTTCATTTCTTATTAAATTATTTTTTAATTATATTTTCTCTTATTCAAAAATTAATTATACCATTTACCTTAATTTTAAAATTAGTATCAATTTATCATAAAAATAGAAAATAATAAATAGATTAGTATCTACCATTTTCTAAAATGATTAACTTATTATAATAAAACTTATTATAATCACTTTAAAAAAAATTAGTGTAAAAAATACTCTTTTTTTTTCATACAATATTCATGAAAATTAATAAATTACGTAAATAAAAAATATCTTCTTTTTATGCAATATATTAATAAAATTTAAGAAAGTACTTTAATTATTTCAAAATTTTATACTTAAGATTTTTATTTGAATAATTAATTTCAAAATTAAAGACAAAATTATGCAAATTTAATGGAGAATATTTCATCAAATTAGTATGAATTTTTTTTAATAATTTATTTCAACAAGAAAAATAAATCAAGTGTAATACAATAGTAAAGGGTACTATGGCCATTTAATAAAAAATATTCAAGGTAATATGGCATTTTGCAATTAAATGTGATAGTTCAAGGGTTTTTAAGCACAAAAAATATTTCAGGGGTTATTTGTAATTTTGGACATAATATAGGCCCTTTTTTTTTGCACTTTACCTTAAGAAATTATTTTACGCCTAACTAATACTCGTATTTAGAAGATGATGACTATGAGACATTGATCGTTGATACTAGGGCGCAACTCGAGCTGGCCTAAAACATTCTAACCTGAGCCCAACTTCAACCTGACTTCGGGTTGAGTTAGGTTGCCCGAGGTAACTCAAATTTAGGTTTCAAATCATGAAACCCAACCCAAATATTTCGGGTTGGTTGGGTTGTCTAGGTCAACCCGTGTATATATATGTATATATATATATATTTTCTTTTCAATGGGTTAGGCCCCCCTCCTCTCTTTATCTCTCCACACAAATATCATATTGTCAATATATACTTATATATAAGTGGACAAAAAATCTAAAGTTCAAAAATAATAAAATAAGGAGAAGTTTTGGGTACCATCAAAATATAAAAGAATAAAAACTAATTGGTCTGGAAAAATCGGCAAAAAATTAGGCCTTTCATAAAAATATGGGTTATATTTACTTTTACATATATATAAATTTGGATTTTGAAAAATAACACTTAAAAGATTTCAAATTGATATTCCTCACCTACTATTAAATAGGAATTTCAAAAATTTGGGGGGCTTAATATGTATTTGATAAGTCGTAAGTCAATTTTATTTTATTTTATTTTATTATTATTATTTTTTTACAACAACTGTTGGTAGGCCTAATTTTTTTTTTTCCCTGTTTAAATTTAATTTCAAAAACATTTTAAAGATAGCATTGCAAAGTACTTGACATCTTTTCTTTTTAAATTTCTTCAGTAACTATTGAAAAGATGGTGTACACTTACCATTGAAATCTTATAAAAATATAGTAATAAAAATAATTAATACAATAAAAAATAATAAAAAAGAGAGTTCGAAATATTATTATTATTATTTTGTAAAAAAATCTCTCTCCTTACCTGCGTATTCGACCTATCTTGCAACGCTCTCATCAAACCTAGAACCAAAAAAAAAAAAAAAAAATCACTACCAAACAACCTCTCTCTCTCTCTATCAAAAATTTTGTCCCCAAATGTTCATCTCACAAACTGTGATTGCCATTATACTGGGAATCAAGGTCAAAGACCACTCACAAGACCATCATAAAAACTTTGTTTGCAATCATAGTTGTGGTTTTGGCGGCGGTGACAACAGAGAATGAAGACGGCAGCAGCGGAGGCAGAGGTGGAGGAAGACGGTGGCAAAGGAGGCAGAGGTGGAGGAAGATAGACTCGGCGGAGGAGGAGGGAGAGGGAGACGACGGCAGCGGCGGAGGAGGAGGCCAACCCGAATTAAAATACCCAATTCGGGTTGGACGGGTTGGGCTCGGGTTAGAACCTTTCTAACATGAGGTCAACCCGAATTGGGCCCGGGTGAGCATTATTCAGCCCGAGCCCAACTCGAAGCTCTAAAATTGGGAGCCCCAACTCAAAACACTTTGGGTTGGGTTAGAGTTGGGCTGGGCTAGCCCGCCCAACTTGCACCCCTACCAGGGGTTTTAAGTTTCTTATTCTCTGTTGGCTGATAAACTAAAGAAGAGCGATTCAATCCGCGAATACGAAAACCCTGCGGTTCTCTCTCCACCCATTTGCTTGCTCTCCAGTTCAGTACTTTCTCACCCTGTTGACATATAAATGTATATGTATCTATTGTAATCGTGTATGTATGAAATATTTAAAGCCTTTTTCTGACCAATTTGTTGTTAGGTGGGCCTATTCATACTTGTATAAGTTCTGAATGTTTTTCATTACAATCAGCAATGGAAAATGCATCAATGCTTATACATATATATACAAACACACACATATGTGTGTGTCCTTAGTTGTGTGTTTTGGATGAGTAGCTATCAATAAATTTGACAGCTTGCATTCAATCTTGATCCTGTTTTGGTTGTTTCTTGATAATCTCTCATTATTTGCTTTTAAAGTCCCCCGGCACTTACATTTCTTAGTATCGGTATTGTGATCGACACTTAGAATGATAAATTCCCTTTTCTGTTTTTCACATTCTTTTCTTGTTTAGGATACAAATAAAAATAAATAAAAAAAATCATATTGGCTAGTCCAATATTACTCTAATTGCTTATTTGTTTTCACATAAACCTAGAAGATTGCCTTAACCTAATGAGTAAGGAAACCTAGAAGATTGTATTAGGCTTTCCATTCTCACTTCCCTTTTCTTCCTTTCTCTAGTATCTCAGCTGGTATTAGGAGATTAATAAAATGGAATTGAGAACTAAAAAAAAGCTAGCCCAGTGCACGAGGTTCCACCATTGCGGGATTTGGGGAGGGTCAGATGTACACTGTACAAATTAAATATGTATAACCCTTTTTCCAGAATGCGTTTGTTTGTTAACAAATTGGTGCTATAAACCTTTCCTACACTGCATTGTATTCGTTTTCTTTATTTTTTATTTATTTTTGCTAACTAGGTAGTTGGACCTCCTTGAGCACCCTGCTAATCCCTGTGGCCACTTGTAGTCTCCTCGTCTAAAGAATATTGCACAATTGCTGGAGGATGGCCCAAGAGGGGACTGTACTATATTAATCTACTGTATACCTAAATATTATCCTCCATTTAGATAGCTGGATTAAGAATTAATAGATTTGCATTGGAGTATTCTGTGAAATTAGGGATACGGGTAGTTTTGAAATAATATGTGCATGAAGTATTTGGAAATTCATGCATTGTATGATTTTAATTGCAGATAAATCAAAATAAATTATACGTCCCCTAAATCCAAGGTCCTCTGCTCTTTCCTCCTCCTTGATTATTCAATCTGACTCCAAAAGCCAATCCCTATTTATATTTGTGATTTGAGCCCCAAATTCCTTATTTCTAAGCCCATTCATCCATATGGACCTTAAATTTCTTCAACATTAGTTGTTGAACATTTATATGTGACATGCTTTACTCCAATACTAGTTAAACCACAATACTGATGGCTTCATCAAAATGAAACCTCTTTTAAGTGCTTTGCGGTTCCCAGAGTTCCATGTGAGACTAGATCGAGCATGTAATCCTACAGAACCTTATATAATGTTAGTAGGAATTAGAAATATTGCATCTGTGCTCCAGTCAGGAAGTTGCTTGAAGACATGCACGAGCAATTAGATTTCCATGTACAGAAGGACTAGGCATCACTGAGCAACATATTACGAGAGGTTTATTACGAGCTCTAGATTTTCCAGTTTTCTGAGTATTTTAATTTTTTTCCTTGATTTTGTTTGTGTGATTTGAAATGGCAGAATGAATGAACTTTAAAAAAGCAGGGAATTGGTAATTACTTTTTCTAATATCATTTTTATGTGTATAAGTGGATAAAGTTTCTGTTCTTATGGTCGATCTACTTAAATTTAAATTGTGATTTAGTGGCATGTGCTGCAGCCATGTATCTTTAGGGAACAACTACATTATATATATTTCATCAAGTTTTTGAATGTTTTCAGGCGAAGCATTTCTCCTTTATTTTTATTGTGTAAATGGGGAATATATTGAACTAGCATCATCTTTGCAATTTACCAAAGGTGTTCAAGTGAAGGCATGGAAATAATTGATAAAGGCTGTTGATGAGCTATTCTTTTCTCTTGTTGAAGTGAACTTATTGTTTTACATCCAGATGGAAGAAAAGGAAAACATTACTTAAAAAAAACAAGTTGAGTAGATTAATGTGTATTTATTTTGCAACATCTGTCTTTTGGTGCCTGCTACTCAAGTACCTGCTTATATTGAGTCATTTATGTATTTCATGGATTTGCTGTTTAGCTTTCATTAACATGGCTGTGATTAGGATTCTAGTTGCATGGGCTATTTTCTTGTGATAAAGTTGACGTCTCTTTAGCTATAATGATACCTAAACATGGATTGCTGTGGCATGCAAGATAGTTTTGCATATTGCTTATTAATAAGGTAGAATGTAATAAGGTAGAATATTCAAATGCTTTAGTTTTTAAAAAAATTTTCTATTTAATATATGATAGATGGCTCTTTAGTTTAGATGCACACTATATATATTCCACTTTTAAAAGCATATTTAATATTAATCATGGAATGGCTCAGCATAGTCATTACCTATTTGTTTGTTGTTTTGTTGTGTCATGGTTGAGAGGGCCGCAATGAACCAAGATGTTCATTGGCAGCTTGAGCTTGGCTAAGTTTTGGGCTCATTTATGATTTTAGTGAACCAAGTTGAAGCATTAATGTGACTCTCTTTTAATAAGCAAGAGTCAAAAAAGGCCCAAGCCCGGATACATATGTAAGGAGGACATATCCATAACATGTCCGTGTGCAAGAATGGCACTCATTGAATTCTCGTACATACATGTCCGATACTGCCTAAATATATTTATAACATTATTACTTTATTTTGAATGTGTATATGATATTTCGTCAAGACATAAAAAAACCACCAGTTTAACAAGTATTTGAACATTAAATGTAACTTTTCGAAGTATAACATCATAATATAATTGTTAAGAAAAGTTTGGATTTTTTTTGAAAAAGAAGAATTGAGATATAATGAGAATATATCATGACTAATTTGGTCCGAAGTTTATCTATGCAATATAACTCTCAATTCTCAGCTTGTTTTTCGAATTTTCTTTTTTATAAGGAAATATAAGCACCGGATATATAGTATGACAAACAATGATTTTGAATTTATACATATATACCTATATATATTAATTTTATATGTAACTACATTAATATAGTATATATTGTTGTGTCCTTGCTGTATTCTTGTCCTATTTTTAAAGATTTTTTCATATCACCACATCCATATCATGTCAAGTCCATATTGCTTATCTGTATCCATTTTCTGTAGTCTGAGTTGAGCTTGAACTTAGATTCTAAACTCATACCAGGTCGGAGCTGAACTAACACCTAATTCAGCCAAGGCAAGCCAAGCCCAAACAGATACTTGACTACGCTCAGTGTTAGCCCATTACATGGTCCATCTTTTGTATCGTTTTACTTGTTCTTTTTTTCTAAAAGAAGAAAAATAAATTCAGGTTATTGTCATTTTTTTAAATATGCCTTGCAGAAAAAGGAAAATATAGGATTATTTTGGTGGTGCTAAATATAGTATGTTGGAATGGAAGTGTACCACATAGGATTATTTTGGGGGTGCCAAATTTAGTACCTTGGAATGGAAGTGCACCATATTCATGGTCACGTGATCCAGCAATCAGATTGCTGATCGGTAGAGTATTAGCAATAAGGCTGCTCTTCATTTAATGCTGAATTCCGGCTATGCCAATCATTACTTTCCTGTCAGTGGAAACTGTTTGGCAGGAGCAGCTCCAGTGGCTGAGAAATTCCCATGACATCATTTCCTGGAGCGAGGAACTTTTGATTTAGCATTGAACAGAGGGCATAGCTGCACATCTGGCAAAAGGGAATGCTTTTTAAAGCGAAGAAGTACACTGACAACCAACAAAAAAAAAAGTGACCAATCGAGATTAATGTGATGACATCACGTACGACCCACATGAATGTATCTGTATGCCATTTTTCTTTCATACTGCTTAGTCGGCCTATATTTCTGGCTTGAGTTGCATTACTCCTGTCAGAAATAGAGTTGATCAGGCTCCTTTTATCATTGATCAGGTAGAGAATTATTATGGGGACTTCATTCCCATTATTAGTAGTCAAGATCTGTTCAAACTGCAGAGTAAAGTTACATTCCTTCTGACAGAAGCAAAAAGGTCCTTAGATGATCTATTGCTGCTGGCATGCATCTGGCAATTGCAGAAACGGCTGAATGAAGGTGTCTCTGGTGCAGTGGTGCTCATTATTTCAGTCATTGACAGAGTGACCAAGATTTGATAAAGGCGGTTAATGAGCTATTGTTTTCTCTTGTTGAAGTAAACTTACTGTTTTACACCCAAATGGGAGGAAAGGAAAACATTACGTAAAAAACAAGTTGAGTAGATTGATGTGTATTTATTTTGCAACATCGGTTTTTTGGCTCCTGCTATTGAAGTACCTTCTTATATTGAGTCATTTATGTATTTCATGGATTTTCTGTGTAGCTTTCATTAACATGGTTGTAATTAGGATTCTAGTTGCATGTGCAATTTTCTTGTTATAAAATTGATGTTTCTTTAACCTATAATGATACCTTAATATGGATTGTTGTGGCATGCAGGATAGGAACATGGTGCACTTTTTTTCCCCAGATGTGGCACAGCAATGATGGCCTTTTATAGTTTTGCATTTTGCTTAGTAAGAAATTAGAATGTGACAAGGTATATTCAAATGCTTTAGTCTTTATTTATTTTTTATTTTTTTCCATTTAATAGATGATAGATAGATCTTTAGTTTAGATGCACACTATATCAATTCCACTTCTAAAAGCATCTTTGATATGAATTAATCATGGAATGGCACAACTATACTCATTTCCTATTTGTTTTATGTCTTGATGTGTCATGGTTGAGAGGGCTGCAATGAACGGAGTTGTTCATTAGCAGCTTGAGCTTGGCTAAGTTCGGGCTCATTTATGATTTAAGTGAACCAAGTTGAAGCTTTAATGTGAATCTCGTTTAATAAACAAGAGTAAAAAAAAAGGCCCAAGCTTGTGCTGGACACATTATTAAGCCAAAATTGAATAGCTTGGAACCACAAAAGCAACTTCTGAGTCAATCAGGATATATCCATATCATGTCTGCGTCCATGAATGGTAATACTTGAATACTCATGGATACATGTCCGATACTTCCTAAATATGTTGTTGTTATTATTAATAATATTTTTTCCTAGTTGGTACTCAAACACCCCCCCCCCCCCCCCCCCAAAGGAATTGGTTGCACCCAAGAGGAGTCCAACCTTAGACCTAATGCTTCCCGAGGCATCAGGGCCAAGTGACTTACCCACTTGAGCCAACCCTTTGGGTTATTATTATTGCTGCTGCTGCTGTTGTTGTTGCTGTTTTATTTTATTTTATTTTATTTTTAACATGTGTCCGATACTTCCCATTTTAACAATTCTTTGAATATTAAAATGTAAGAAAGTATGGAATTTCTTTGAAAAACAAGTATTGAGATAAAATAAGAATATATCATGACTGATTTGGTACGAAGTTTATCTATGCAATATAATTCTCAACTCTCAGCTTGTTTTTCATAATTTTTGTAAGGAAATATAAGCGACGATATATATATTATGACAAACAATGATTATTTTGAATTTATTCATTGATACATATATATATATATAGATTAGTTTTATATGTATCTACATTAATATGATATATTGTCATGTCCTTGCTGTATTCGTGTCCTAATTTGTAAGATTTTTTCATATCACCATATCCATCTCATGTCGAGTTCGTATCACATATCTGTATCCATCCTCTATAAGTCTGAGTTGAGCTTGAACATAGGTTCTAAGCTCATACCTGGTCAAAGCTGAGCTAACACCTGTTTCAGCCAAGCTGAGCCCATATAGATAGTTGGCTATGCTCGGCGTTAGCCCATCACATGGTCCAATTTTTGTACCTTTCTTCTTTTTACTCTTTTTATTTATTTATATTTTTATAAGGAGAAAATTAAATTCATGTTAATCATCATTTTTAAAATATTCCTTGCAGAAAAAGGAAAATAAGATGGATAGGATTACTTGGGTGTTGCCAAATATGGTATCTTGCCATCTTGGAATGGAAGTGTACTATATAGGATTATTTTGGGGGTGCCAAATTTAGTATCTTGGAATGGAAGTGCACCATATTCATTCTCAGGTGATCAACGTTGCTTGATCTGTAGGGTATTAGCAATAAGACTGCTCTTCATTTAGTGCCAATCATTACTTTCTTCAGAGGATACTGTTTCCTTTTTTTGGTGGGAGGCTGGGAGCAGCTCCAGCAGCTGTGGAATTCCTATGACATCATTTCCTGGAGTGAGGACAACTGTTGTTTTAGCATTGAGCAGAGGGCATGGCTGTACATCTGGCAAAAAGAAATGCTTTTTAAAGAGAAGAAGTTCAAAGACTAACCAAAAAAGAAAAAGAAAAGAAAAGTGACCAATAGACATTAATGTGATGACATCACGTAGGACCCACATGAATTCATCCGTTGGCCATTTTTCTTTCGTACTGTTTAGTCGGCCTATATTTCCGGCTTGAGTAGCATTACTCCTGTCAGAAAAGAGTTGGTCCAGTCACCTTTTATCATATATCGTTGAGAAAATTATTATGGGCACTTCATTCCCATTATGAGCATTCAAGATCTGTTCAAACTGCAGAGTAAAGTTCCATTCCTTCTGATCTATTGCCTGCTGTCATGCATCTGGCAATTGCAGCAGAGGCTGAATGAAGGTGCCTCTGGTGCTGGTGCTCATTCTTTCAGTCGGGCTTGAAGGATATCAAATTACAAGTGATTCAATTCTCCCTTCGCTTATCAAAGCTCCCTACATAAGTCTTCAGAAAAATCAATATACAAGTCATTCAACTTGTAAGGTACGTATCTTGTAGCTGTAAGAATTTAAATGACAGAATTTAATAAGAAACACAATCCTGCTGTGGAAATTCTGGTAAAAGCTTCAAACTTTGTTCCTTGTGCGTATTTAAACTAAACTTTTCACTAAAATTTTCTGTAGCACTTACATTTGCTTGAAAGACAGTTTTCTAAATTCTGGCATCTGATATTCTGAAACTAGTCACTTGACAATTATAACATGCTGCTGCTGCAATATGTTTTTAGCTGAACTCCGTTCGAGTGCAATATGGAACTTCTTCCAGTGCAGAAGAAAGGAGAACTCTGCTACATCAGCACAATATTGAAATACGCTTGTGTTGGGGATTCTTTTTCTTTTTCCTTTTTTATTTCGAAAATTTTCTTTTCTAGTTTATATGCATATATGTAGAGCTTCCATGTGAATCACAAATGGCACGTAACAGCACATGACAATATCTGCTCAATCATCATTCCCTTATTGTCCTTTATAGAGTAAATACTCGTGTTTGTTATTATGGTTTCTCAATCTGATGTAGAATTTAGCGATCTAAATCTACATTTTTGGACTAGATTGTACAACGTATACATGTGTCCATCATTTATGTGACTAAATACATGCATGTGGCGTTCATGCACACGTGTACTTGTATATGACTAGTTGACTTGTATTTCCTCCAGTTTCCTTTTGGAACTCCTACTTTAATTACTCATTAATATCAAATGCCCTGGTTGACACCTTGACGGTGCATGTGAATCACGAATGACACATAACAGCACATGTAGAGCTTCCATGTGAATCACGAATGGCACGTAACAGCACATGATAATATCCGCTCAATCATCATTCACTTTCTGTCCTTTATATAGCAAATACATGTGTTTATCATTATGGTTTCTCAATCTGATGTAGCCAATCTACATTTTTTGGACTGGATTGTACAAAGTACGCATGTATCCATCATCTACGTGACTAAATGCATGCATGTGGTGCTCATGCACACGTGTACTTGTATATGACTAGTTGTAGTTAACCTGTATTTCCTCCAGTTTCCTTTTGGAACTCCTACTTTAATTACCCATTAATATCAAATGTCCTAGTTGGCACCATGACGGTGCATTGGATGGGTTCACATGGTAAAATGCAAGGACATTTTCATGGATCAACGGTTTCACCGTCCCAACTGTTCAACAACAGCTCTGACTTACCAAAGCTCTAACCCATCTCTTTTAGCACTCATCCCTGCACTGCATCACTGTGCTACTATAGGTTTTGACAAGTGCACAAAAATGACTGTACGGAAGCTATTATAACTCTTTACAAGCTTAGTCACACACTTTGTTAGTATGGTTTTAGAATTGTTCTCGTCAATGAAGCAGACTTTTCTTTGCAGAACTTATAATTTTGTTAATTCTAACAGAGAGTTCACTGCTGTTTGGAGTTTGGACATATATCAGTTGGTTTTTTTTTTTTTCTTCTTCTTCTTCTTTTTCTTTTATTTATTTATTTCCTTTTTTTGGTAAGAAAGGTTGGGACAACATTTTGTTTTGGTGATGGTGATACAGAAAGTCAGGAACTGGATGTCATAATATTGATAGGTGGATCCTGGTTCTTGTTTGATCGAAAAGCACTGAGATATTTTCGTAAGACAAGGAATGTCCATTGTGGAGGAAAGGGAACATATGGAAAATCAGTTTGTGAAGCTAATGAGAAAATAAAGGCGTGCTGTTGTATATATCATCTAAAAATCGTGCTTTCTGGTTGATTTGAGTTACGGAGCTGTTTAAAATTTTTATTTCCTGTGGACTTTCTTTATTAAAAAATAAATTTAGTTTGGTAAATATGTTTTATCTTAATTATCTTTCAAATTGCTTGGCGACTGGATGCTAATGGAAAAAGATAAAAGGCTCTCTTATGTAAATCCCAAGATCCAAATCAAGTGCCAAATCTTATTTTTAATATGAAATTTTACTGTCATCTTCATTTGGGATTTGAAACACCATTATGGAACTTCCTAATGCTTCTAGTCATGGATGTTCTCTACTTGAATTAGTTTTGTTTGTATTGGAAGAATATCATAGGAGTGATTTTTACTGTATAGTAGAATATTGATTGGAGTGATTTATGGGATTGATTTTACGAATTTTCCATCAATGTATTTCCATATTTATCACTTGTATTCTTTCACCTATAGAAAGAGGTGATCATTGTAAACAATATGAAGAGAGAATGTAATGAAAGCTTAGGGCTTTGTGTGTCATGGATGTAAGCCCTAATGGCTTAATAACGTTACATTCTTGAGTTCTTCATGTTTAATTTCTCTCTTCAACTTTTATATCTTTCATCAGTTTGTAACATCCTTTCTATATGCTATTTATGGAAATGTAGAACCTGAAGTTGGAAAGACGATGAGCATGAATTTCTGCTTGGCCAGAGACAGAAAATTGCAGGAGATGGAAATGCTCCAACAAAGTTCAATCCGTGTTCCATTATTTTGAGGCTTGTGATCAGTATATAATGCTGATAGTGAAAACCCACATATCAAAGGTATTTATACAATTCAAGAAGTACTATTTTATACCTATATACTGCTGACTAACAATTGCTATCTTCTCCTCATGTGTCTGGATTAGACTTCTTAACATCGTCCACAATTTAGAACCCGACCCATTTTTTTTATTTTTTTTTATTTTTTATCCTTTTCTTCTCTACCAAGAATAAGATCAGAAGAGAGAGTAGAGGAAAGAACATGGTAAAGGTCTCATGATAAGGCATAGTTATTCAATTCCACATATCAAAGGTATTTATACAATTCAAGAAGTACTATTTTATACCTATGCCTTGATATATACTGCTGACTAACAATTGCTATCTTCTCCTCATGTGTCTCGATTAGACTTCTTAACATCGTCCACAATTTAAAACCAGACCATTTTTTTTTTATCCTGTTCTTCTCTACCAAGAATAAGATCAGAAGAGAGAGTAGAGGAAAGAACATGGTAAAAGGTCTCATGATATGTAAGCATAGCCTTAAGCATGCCAATTGCCAAAAGTGTTGTAGAAAGCTTTGAGGAAATAATCATATTGCCTTCTAGGGTTATTCTATTAGTTAAAAACTCCCATTGTTGTTTCAAGAAGTCAAAATGCAATAGTTGCAATCTGGGAAATCCTTGTACATTCTTAATCATAGTTAACCTTCTGCTTATGGAATGCTGTTTTATTTATTTATTTTTGTCAAGTAAGATACCAAATCTCGAACTCTGTCCAAAAGGGTTGAAGTACAAATAGACTCCAAACCCTAACTGGCTTGCAAGGATTGGTGATTCTTATTTTAATGCTGCTTCTTTCTTTTCACCTTTTTTTGTAGTTTATATCTAATGATTGTTTAAATATCCATCTTTGTTTTTTTTTTTTTTTTTTTTTGATAAGTAAATATCCATCTTATCTTTTTCATTATCATTGCTTTGTTTCTTATATTTTCTCTTCTAGTATTTCTGTGTCTTAGTTTAAATTGCAGAGACCAGGGTGAAGTGGATTATTGCAAGTTAAAGTTTCAGCAAGGAAGTCAAGTTGAAGAATTTCTGCTTGCCTCAGTGGCTTACTAATCATTAAAATCTCATACTTGCGAGAAAATTTTACCTAGTTCCGGCCAATTACAATTCGACACGCAAGTAAATGTGTCAGTTTTATTTAAATTTTTGCTCAAGTGTCGAGTTGTATATCCAGACTATAAAACAATTTTTTATATTTTTCACTGGACTGAAAATTCTCTTCGATAAGTTCCATCTAGTCAGTGATGTTCGGTTACTCACGAAGGATTACGATCATCACTAACTCGACGAAATAGCACGGGAACTCTTTGGAAGGATTTTTGTCCACTTACCAGTTACCACTCATGTCATGTGATAGATTGGAAGTCTGTACATTTTGCTATGTGTAATGGCTTTATGAATAATTACAGACAAAATAAGGGTACATAGGGTATAATAAAATAGGGGGGAGAGATACAAGACGTATTGCAGATATATGTATATACAGTAAGACGATCTTGTAATTCTACAACTGCTTTTAACTTTTCATGGACACAAGTTTTGAAGATTGAAAAGCTGCTTACAATGAAACAGGTGTGAAAGTTTGTGTTGCTGGTGGATTTTCTCTCTCACTACAGTATATTTCTTGAAAGTTTTCACACAATTTAGATGAAATAATGCACATTATTAAGTTATTAAAGTAAAATTAGAAGGTTTTCTTTGAGAGTACTTGTATCAAAAACAACATATTATAAATACTAATAATCTGTCTATAAGTATATACACACGCACATTATGATCCATATGAAATAAAAGTCGAATTGTCCTTCCTTGGTCATTAACTTTTTCATAAAAAAAAAAAATTAAAAGAAAAGATCTAAGATGCTAAATCGGGAAATAATGATATTAAGATATATGATTTCCCGCCATTTTTAGAGAGACTAAAAACAATAGGACTGTTTCCCGCCATTTTTGCTGCAAGGGTTAATCATAACGCGAAAACGACGTCGTGACGATGGTGTTTCCACCACTGAATCCACCAGCCGACGCCGTTTACAGCAAACGGAATGTGAGAATTTGACCTCGCAAAATGGGTTTCCAAATTTGTCCTCTATTTTTGATAAAATTCCACCTACCCCTATATGAATTTATTAAAATGCCCCTTAGAGAAGTCAACAGCGACCACCGTTCACCGCAACTTGTGAACATTTTAAATTTAAAAAGTAAAAAAAAAAAAAAAAACAAATTCCACTTTTTATTTATTTTACTGCCTAAAAATTTAAAAATTTAAAAGAGGTATGTCAAATAAGGTCATCGGCTATCATTAAATTGAAGAAAATAATTGTTAATTTTGGTTCTTAAAAAATAGAGAATAGTGTTAACACCATCTGTCCTGACGAATGGCCTTTTTTTGTCCTTTCACGCATAGTTGAGAAGGTTTTAGTAATCTTATAACACAATTTGAGTGGCATATTCAGTAATATTCACCAACATCTGGTCTTGTTCCGCAACCGCCTCTGTTTTAAAAGCACAGCTTCCGGGGCAATCGAAATCAAATTGCTAATTCACTCCCTCGCTTCTCTTTCTCTCTCTTCAACCGCTTTCTCTCTCTAAAAATCTCTCGCTCTCGCATTCTCTCTTCGCGTTCAATCTCTCTTTCTGTTTATGAATTCGTTCTCTTCTTCGATGTTTCTCTCCTATTCCTTTAAATATTCACCGCTTTATGAATTCTGATTTTTTCATTGCTCAACATATACTTCACCTCAATCTCTCCCTATCCTTAAAGTTCTTGAAACCCTAACCCTAGTTTCCTTACTTAGAAGAACTCTGTGTGAGCCGTAACATCAACCCTAACCCTAATTGGCTTCACAAATAAGTTTTTTTGATCCAAAAGTGACTTCGAGACACAAGAAATGTAAGTGTTTTTCCTTCAATTTCCTTTAAATTTGCGCGTTTGTTTTTAGTTATCGAACTTCGAGAAACCCTAATTATGCTTGAGATTTAAAAGTTGCGGAAATTATGCGATTTTTTACTGCTTTTGTTTGGGAAAACATGAATGTTGTCTATGAGTGCTCTAGGTTTTGTGCTTATGTTCTTGTTTGTTTGTTTGTTTTGTAAGTTGCAGAGACTTGAACTCGAACCCTAGCTTCTTATGTTCGTACTGGTGGTTTGAGGACACTTACAGATTATTAGAAGTAAGTGTTTCGCACTTCCTTGTTTTTATTTCGTTTACAGATTTCATATACCTTGCTCCTGCAACAGAAGTAGGAATTAAGAAATAAATAAATAAATGAAAAAGATAAATTAGATTAATAAAAAAATTAAATAAAAAAAATAAAAAATAAATTATTTCAGCTAGGTTTCTCTTTTGATAATCTTCGGTAGTGTGGTTTAATTTGAAAGTTGAGTATATTAAACAAACATGAAAAAAAAAGGAATATAAATAAAATAAAATAAAGAAAGAAATTAACTAAATTTAGTTTCTGTTGTGATAGTCTTCTGTAATATGGTTTAAGTTAGACCTTGAATATCTGATTCATTTGTAAAAGATTATTGTATAATTCAATCAAATTTCTATACCTTTGTTTTTTCTTTCTTTTAGCATAACCCTAAGTTCAGTATAAATGTAGCCTTGAGGAAAACAATTATTTGAAACAAACTTCAACCACTGCCTGTAAATTTAAAAGATTTCCTATAAATAGGAGTTGAGAAATTATTTGTTGTGGTGTGTAGTTGTGCAGACTACAATGGCAGAAAGCCGAAATGGAAATGGTCCGCCAGCAAATGGGAGGCCCACTGGAGCAGGAAATGCTTATACCATTGATCTGGATAGCTTCAGCAGGCGATTGAAGGCACTTTACACACATTGGAATGATCACAAATCTGAACTCTGGGGTTCATCGGATGTTTTTGCAATAGCTACTCCTCCTGCTTCTGAGGATCTGCGGTATCTGAAATCCTCGGCTCTGAACATTTGGTTGCTTGGTTATGAATTCCCAGAGACAATAATGGTTTTCATGAACAAGCAGATCCATTTCTTGTGTAGCCAGAAGAAGACCTCTCTGCTTGACGTAGTAAAAAGATCTGCCAAGGAGGCTGTTGGAGTGGAAGTTGTCATGCACGTGAAAGCAAAGAACGATGATGGGACTACCCAAATGGATGCTATATTTCGTGCTATACGTGCTCAGACAAAGTCTGATGGTCATGATAATCCTGTTGTTGGATACATTGCAAGAGAGACTCCAGAGGGGAATCTTTTGGAGACATGGGCTGAGAAGCTAAAGAACTCAAGTCTCCAACTTATTGATATAACCAATGGATTGTCAGACCTTTTTGCTGTTAAGGACAGCAGTGAGATCACAAATGTGAAGAAGGCTGCATTTTTGACAGCTTCTGCAATGAAGAATTTTGTGGTTCCAAAGCTTGAGAAGGTTATTGATGAGGAAAAGAAAGTCTCCCATTCTTCATTAATGGATGACACTGAGAAGGCCATACTGGAGCCAGCAAAAGTTAAGGTGAAGCTTAAGGCTGAGAATGTCGATATCTGTTATCCTCCTATCTTTCAGAGTGGTGGTAATTTTGATCTCAGACCTAGCGCTTCGAGCAATGATGAACACCTATACTACGATTCAGCCAGCGTGATTATATGTGCAGTTGGATCCCGATATAACAGTTATTGTTCAAATGTTGCCAGAACTTTCTTAATTGATTCCACTACAACACAGAGCAAGGCTTATGAGGTTCTACTCAAGGCCCATGATGCAGCAATTGGGGCATTGAAGCCTGGGAACAAGGTCAGTGCTGTGTATCAAGCAGCCCTATCTTTGGTTGAGAAGGATGCTCCAGATTTAGTAAACAACCTGACAAAATCTGCTGGAACAGGCATTGGTCTTGAGTTCCGTGAGTCAGGCTTGAGTCTGAACATCAAGAATGAACGAGTGTTGAAAGCAGGCATGGTTTTTAATGTGACTCTTGGTTTTCAGAATTTGCAGACGCAAATCAAGAAGGCAAAGAGCCAGAATTTCTCTCTTTTACTTGCAGATACTGTTATTGTCACTGATAAGGGCCATGATGTGGTGACTTCAGTGAGCTCTAAAGCAGTTAAGGATGTGGCTTATTCATTTAATGATGACGAGGAGGAAGAAGAAGAGCAGCCGAAAGTGAAAGCTGAGGCTAATGGTGCAGAGTCCTTATATTCCAAGGCAACACTCAGGTCAGACAACCAGGAGATGTCAAAAGAAGAACTCCGAAGGCAGCACCAGGCTGAACTTGCTCGCCAGAAGAATGAAGAAACTGCCCGACGACTTGCTGGTGGGGGTTCTGCAGCGGGAGATAACCGTGGTGCTGCGAAGTCCTCGAGTGAACTAATTGCATATAAGAATGTCAATGATTTACCCCCTCCGAGAGAAATGATGATTCAGGTTGACCAGAAAAATGAAGCCATCCTCTTACCCATTTATGGAACCATGGTTCCTTTCCATGTTGCTACAGTGAAGACTGTCTCCAGCCAACAGGATACCAATCGAAATTGCTATGTCCGAATAATCTTCAATGTTCCTGGCACACCTTTCAGTCCTCATGATGCCAATTCCTTGAAATATCAGGGTTCTATATATTTGAAGGAGGTTTCATTTCGCTCTAAAGACCCAAGGCACATAAGTGAAGTGGTACAGCAGATTAAAACACTCCGAAAGAATGTTATGGCCAGGGAGTCGGAGAGAGCTGAACGAGCAACTTTGGTTACTCAGGAGAAACTTGTACTTGCAGGTAACAAGTTTAAGCCAATAAGATTGCCTGACCTTTGGATTCGTCCCACTTTTGGTGGTCGTGCAAGAAAACAGTCTGGTACACTGGAAGCTCACACAAATGGGTTCCGGTACTCAACCTCAAGGCAAGATGAGCGTGTGGAAGTCATGTATGGGAATGTCAAGCACGCATTCTTCCAGCCAGCAGAGAAGGAAATGATCACTCTTCTGCACTTTCATCTGCACAACCACATAATGGTGGGAAACAAGAAAACTAAAGATGTTCAATTCTATGTTGAAGTGATGGATGTGGTCCAGACGCTTGGAGGTGGAAAGAGATCTGCTTATGACCCAGATGAGATTGAAGAAGAACAACGGGAGAGGGACCGGAAGAACAAAATCAATATGGATTTCCAGAACTTTGTGAACCGGGTTAATGATCTCTGGGGACAGCCCCAATTCAAGGGGCTTGACCTTGAGTTTGATCAGCCTTTAAGGGAACTTGGCTTTCATGGCGTTCCCTATAAAGCTTCAGCTTTTATTGTCCCGACTTCAAGCTGTTTGGTTGAGCTAGTAGAGACTCCTTTTCTTGTCATTACCCTAAGTGAAATTGAGATAGTGAACTTAGAGAGAGTTGGTCTTGGACAGAAGAACTTTGACATGACAATTGTATTCAAGGATTTCAAGCGAGATGTGCTTCGAATCGATTCTATTCCTTCAACATCACTTGATGGCATCAAGGAATGGCTGGACACAACGGACCTCAAGTATTACGAGAGCAGACTGAACCTGAATTGGCGTCCAATATTGAAGACTATCACTGATGATCCACAAAGGTTCTTAGAGGATGGGGGTTGGGAATTTTTGAATTTGGAAGCTAGCGACTCTGATTCTGACAACACAGAGGATTCTGACCAAGGCTATGTGCCATCAGATGCTGAGCCTGAGTCAGACTCGGATGACGATGTTTCTGGCAGTGAATCGCTGGTGGAATCGGAGGACGATGAAGAGGAGGAGTCAGAGGAGGACTCAGAGGAAGAGAGAGGAAAAACATGGGAGGAGTTGGAGAGGGAAGCAAGTAATGCAGACAGGGAGAAAGGCGGTGAATCGGATAGCGAGGAGGAGAGGAGGAGAAGGAAGATGAAGGGACTAAGCAAATCTCGGGCTCCTCCCAGTAGCAGTTTACCCAAGCGACAAAAGTTTAGGTAGATGTGGATGTATCTCAGTTATTCTCCCACCTCTGTGTTGGAGTCTATTATGCAGCAATAGCAGCAACAGATGCTTTAGTTTTAGTTTTTTCAACTCAGTTTGGAAGAATCTTGCTTAGAATATCCTTTTTTTCTTTTAAAACTTTATGTCCCTTGCTTTGGGCTCTTGGCAGGTTGCTTAGCTGATGGATTTTGCTTGTAAATTATTGGCATTAGCTCAACTGGGAAAAAGTATTTTCTGTTTTCTATTTGTTGGTTTTTGTCTTTCTTATCTCATGGTTTTTTCAATTTGTAGGAGTTTTAGGAGTGAGTTTGAATGTTTCTATTGTTCGTGGTCCTTTGGCTCATGTGTTATTATGGCTCATGTGTTATTATGTCGTGGTCTATGGATTGGTAGAATAAGTTTACTTTTATTCTGGTTCTTGAAGTTGCTT